AGTTTTTCTCACAATACTTTATCCGCAGGAATTACGTGCGTAATGAATCCGACGCATTAATCTGCAGTTAGCAGTCTGGCGGGAATATAGCACGTTGCATTTTTCTCGCTTTGCAATCAATCACGAACAATTACTAATCTGAAATCTACTGATCTACGTGCAGATAGAAAGTTTACGCCTAAGTCAACGTATCTTTTTCCTTGTATTCAAGTCGACACAATTGCTGAGTGAACACAACGGATACAATATATGTATATGTTAATATAATTATTAATATTTTATTTTGCTATGAACAGCAAAGTGAAAAAGGTCATCCAAAAGCGTGGAAATTAATGGACAGAAATAATACAGGGATCTATATAATACAATCGGATGGGAAGTAATTTCTTGTACGAAAATAAATCGAGAGTAGAATAAGCTCTTTTCATTCGCAGACTTTGTTTCCAACAAAATTAAATTTGATTGAGAATAATTAATACATAAAATTAAAAACAAAAAAAATTACTTCTGAAGAAGTGAAAGATAGGAAGACATTAGTTAGAATCCATGAATGTGCAATTTAACGAGAACAATTTTGTTTGTGGCAGCAGAGACATTTCTAGCAGTTTTTCTCTTAATAAAATGAGTAAAATTTATTTATCACATTTTCTTTAATCTTGCCACTCGTAAAGTCATGTTACGACGTTACGTAAACACTGTAACATACAGTTTATACAGTTTCTTTTCGCAAAGCGCATCTTCATTAAGTGCACGCATATTCTCTCAACACGATATTTAAACTTCATTTTTCCTCGAAAATAAAGCCTCAAACGAAAAAAATTCTATACTTTCGACTTATTTTTGTACATGAAATCATCCCCCCCCCCTCCCCTTATCTGGTTGTATTATAAGTTTATCCCTAACCTGTATATTAAATATAGAGAGTTTACGAAAACGAAATTACATGTTTCGGCACAATTTGAGAGTCATCCTTGGATCGCAGAAACAGCAAAAGACCGGGTTACAAAGAAAAGCAAGACGTTTTTTTGTAACCCGGTCTTTTGCTGTTTCTGCGATCTGAGGATGGTTTAAAATTTAGCCGAAACATCTAATTTTGTTTTTGTAAACTCTCTATATTTAATATCATTCTGTCCATTAATTTCCCTTCTTGACTCTTGTATGTACTTTTTTATTTTTTTTTATTTTTTTTTTATTATAAAAGAATTTATCAAAAATTCTTATTATTTTTATTTAATTCACTATGCAATTCAATGTTGTGAATTTATCAATAATGGCTCAACAAGATGAGCTATAACAATCAAACAGAATAAAAGGATATCTCATCCGCGCGAAGTGTTGCGCACTTTCTCTCGATATACATATATTTTGCTGAACATTCGAAAGTTCATTAAATTATTCTTATCATTAGTCTCTTAGAGACGATCATTAAAATATTTGAATAATCAAAACAATACAAAAATCTCTTTATAATCTTAAAATAATCCAATTGATAGCTTTGTGTGAATAAAATTGCGTTATCTACTCACATGAATGTAGTAAGTCTTAGTTAAAAGTTTTTTTTTTATATTTAAAATTTTCCGATGTCTTGTTATTCAAAGTCTGTTATTCGATCGGAGATTTCTGTATTCCGGAGAAAGTGACTTCTGAGACATTTTATGTGAATATTATCTGGAACTTCCGCAAATTACAGATTTCGTCAAAGTACGTATCGGGCAAGGAAATAATAGACTTCCGACACGGAATCGCTACATATTTGTTCGCTTATCTCGTTTCACCGACATATGGCATCGGCACGCCATGTTTTATATTCAAATACAGATATTATGTTGCTCGGCCTCGATCGTTGCTCGTCCGTAATGCGGCTGCGTCTTATGATCTGTGACCGCATTTTTCTCTGGATTAACGAACGTTCAACCTAAATCGTCGTGCGACACGATGGAGAGGCAGATTACCGCAAGAAAATCACTTTCGAAAATTGTCGATCGTCGTGCGATCCTCCGGCGGCGATCGCCGGAAGTAGACCGGAAATCGATCGTCCTGCCGATGTAAGGCCATTCGATTTCACACGCGGATCTTCGCCGTGTGAATGTGGAATTTACCGAAAGTTTCTCGCAAGTATATTTATTATATATCGTCAAAAAAACACATAAAATACTGAAAGTAATTAGGATATACCTATCAATATTAATGTTATATACATAACAACGTGTGTGATGCAGATATATCTTCTCTTTAAAGTTTTTAGAATAAATTTCATTCTAAAGAGCGAAATCTTACTTTTAAAGATTAAAAATTAAGCTACTCTTTTTCGAGACTCGCTCAATTTTCACTCTTTAGAGTGAGATTCCGTTCCAAAGAATTTAAAGAGCTGACATACTATCCCGAAAACGATTACCATTTTTTTGTATCAAAACTACACACACATAATTTTTTATTTAAAAATCAAATATCTGCATTTTAAAAGTTTCTGCATTTTCTAGAATATTAATGATTCTCTAATAATGTACTTATTATTAAATATACTCGTGTCCTTTTTAATTATCTCTAGTTTAATAGTATTATTTTATATTTTTAACATTTTGAAAACAGCACTTTATGCAAACGAGAATAAATGTGACGTTTCTCGGAGGAACGAAACACATGTCCGCGGATGACAGATGTCAGATAATTCTAAAGTCCGCGACAAAGTTGTGGCGTTTCTTTCGCATATCCTGTTTCGCGAAGGAATTCACTCGACCGAAGAGAGGCAGCCCAAGAGAGCAGGCCCTCCCTCGAAGGACAGCTCGATGCGAACCGACCGAGTGTTTATCCATATTACCTTATATCACTCACGTTTCCCTCTTTTCTTCGACTTGGCAGGATGTCCCATTCATGAGAGTCTTGAAAGGCGGTAAACGTAATGACCGACTGACGTCCTCGCGTGAATGTAACCGTCGCGGTCGTCACGGCACGTTCGAAAGCACGATCGAATCGTCCGCAGTTAACATCTCCATTCTTAACAAAAGGAGAAAAAAATAATGCAGGGCAGATCCCCTTCACCCCCTCTCCCCCCCCCTCACAAGATCACTTCGGGAATAATTTGCAATTGTACGCGGAGAAAACATCACGAGAGAGTCGCAGACTGTAATTTGTACATGCAACGAAAATATTTTTTCGAATATTTTTTTTTTTTTCGGACTGTGATGACACATTTTATGCTCCGTTGGAAAACGAGTTCTTCATTTCTTCTCTTTTCGATGTAGACAAATAAATAAATAAGATGCAGGAGAGATGCGGATCGTGTGCTTAGACGTCTTCCTTCACAGTCTTTACTTCTAAGAAGCGAAGGAAAAGTATTCCCAGTATCTATCTATGTGAATTTATTCACAGTATTTAACTTGACATAAGCCTGATGAAAAAGTAAAAAAATAATATAAGCATTTTTTTTGCACATACGATATCATGGCCGAATGATTGTCTAATCAAAATAAATTTGTTCATCTAAAATTATCTTGTACAGTGATTTTTTGTTCTGTCTTGTTCTGTTTTCTTTCAAAAAATCAATAAAAATTTAAAAGAGAGATCATACTATATTTTCATTAGATCCAGGAAAGATAGAAAACTTTTATTGTAGTGAATGATATTACTATTTAATAAATTTAAATTATTAAAAATTTCTGATATACAACATATAAATATCGATCATTTTAATCGATAATTTTATCATAGAAATTTTACATATTTTTCAATTATCTGATTCTTCATCATCTACATTCTTTATTATACTTAACCCTAATTATATTATTAAAAAACGTGTATTGTGCATCCTATTATCACTTTGATTTGTTTAAATATCCGACCGAAATCAATGTTTATAAATATGCATCACGTGATTGCGAAACATAAGAACATTATACTTATCGGAGATACATTTTCCAAGAGAACTATTAGTGATTACATTTCGCAGAAGTTTACTAAAGCACATTTGATTTAGGACGCGAATAATAAACAGTCTTTATGTCGACAACTTTTGCATAAAATTTTAAATGATAATCTTCCAAAAAATTAAATAAAATCTAATGGCGGATATCGTCGTTTAATTTCCATGAGCGAAAGCTGTTCGATAAATACACGCGAACTATAAATTACTGTTAGTCTCGTGTACGTTAACTTTAAATGTAGGTTAGGAAAAGGTACATTTTTCAAGCAAACCCTCTGCATATTTTCACGCGGAAACAACTTTCCTAAATCGCTGCAGGAGTTTCTCGAGTCATAGAGGATTGCGTATTTGCATGTACGCTTATTTACATATGCGCTCGAATCAAACGTGAACGCACGTTCTATATAGTCTACTGAAATTTTAGGATTTTGCATTCGTAAACGGGAAGAATTTACACATGTGACTCACGAAAGAGTCGATTTCAAACAACATTAATTTTATTTATAGTAGAGGCGTTTATCGTTTCATTAAATTCTCGTAGAATTGAGAATTAAACAGGAAAGAAAATTATTTTATAGACAATAATACCACTTATTATGTATACAAATTTCTTTTCGTCGGAGTAATAGCCTAAAATCGCGTATTGATAGTCTTAATCGCAAGTGAAGTTTTTAATAAATTATCCGTATTTTTTTAGGCAGATTTTAATTTACATACAGAGATATAAAATTGAATAATGTGTTAGTAAATAATATTTTAAAGCAAAGTTTAACATCTTATGTTTAATTAATTATTAATAAAATGACATTGCTTTAATTACTTTAAAATTATTCATATATTTATGAAGAATAGTACATATGATATTGAAATGATTACGTTTTCATATATCATGTGTAAAGAATAATTTTATAAAATTTTTAAATAAATGTATAAGAAATACGTATGTCATAAAATATATAATATTTGGGACAACTACATACATATCTCGTTTGCCTTTCTTAAGTTATGTGACGTTTCTATATAATGTTCTTTTCGAAACTCATCGTGATGTTCTACTATCATTATTGTTTCTTTGTTGTAGGTTGGTGATGGTGGCATTATAATGCTCGATGCTACTTTAGATGCCTCTACGACCGACGATGCTGAGTGGGAAATCTCTGGGGGTCCACCGTCGCCTTGCGACGTGTCGTTTCTCAACGACAATGTTCTCATCAATGGGCGCAGCAACCTCTCGAGGACGCCACGAAATCATAAGGTGAGTGAACCTGCGCCTTGATTATCCAGTTTTTCCAAGCGACCCTTTGTTCGAAATAGGTTTCAAAGCAAGAAAAAGTTGCATCATAATTTAAGTCAACATTTAATCATAACATTACTTACATAATTATATTTTTTTTATTTTTAATCGTATTAATTTGTATAGCAAATAATTCTAATAATTAACGTGTCTCTTAAAAAGAATATCATTTAAGAAAACAGGTAACAGTTTAATGAAAATAAAGATATATACATATATAGCATTCTACAATAAGTCCGTCTCATGTGAAATCTAATAGTACGGACATACACATCTTTAAAAAACATCGGGTAATGAAAGTTCGAGTAAATTATGAGAACGTTCAATCTTGACATATTTATCATATATGCAAATAGTAATTCAGTGACAATCCGGTTTTGACATTTTTTTCCTTACATTTCAATGAAGCAGTTAGGAGTAAGACATCAGTAGAGAGATTAGGAGAATATCAAATAAGAAATCATATCATAACCATAAATAACTTGGAAGTAATTTAAAATTTAAATAATTAAATTATCTATTTAAATCGTCGTGTCGATACGAAAAGTCTTATCAGGATCTTTTATTTTGATTACCGATTAAACGCACGGCGTTACGTCTATCTAATCTAATCAGCTGCACCGCCATTATTCACAGGATCGTGACCCGGCTACCTTACTAAATCAAAAAGCGCAAAGCGTAATATTACTTTCAAGATCGCTCGCGTGGCGTGAGAAAATCTGTGAACAACCATTCGTGAGATCGGACGTACAATGTGTCTGCGTCCAACTCCCACGTGGTCCGAGGAAATTTTTTTTCCCCTCAATGGGAGGAAAGAGAGAGGCTCTAATCCATGCCATCACGTAATATATTTTTGGCGTGATGACAAACGTCGGTTTCACGCCTCTCGGCGCCGCAGAAACACTGAGTTTGTTCCGCTTACATGCGGCCTACTGACGGAAACGTTCCTCGCCCGCGGATTATAAGAGAAAAGACTCGTGGAAAAATTTATTGGTGCCATTCTACATTTATATATGTTGATAAAATTAACGAGACTTCTGAG